TCCATGCCCAAGAGACCCGAGGCTGGGCTCGGCATCAAACCCACAGGATTTTCGGTCTCGTCCGCCTTTTCCTGCCTTCACGGCCCATTTGGCTTTCGGCATGTTGCTTTAAAGGATCAGAGTGATCTTAACGCCAAGCAAACCCGTCGCAGCCTGGATGAGCACGGGGAATTCGGTATACTCACTCATCGTGATTCACTTGCCACTGGTTGACAAACACGCAGGTATTCTTGGGGATGTAATAGCCGTTCAACGCCGTCGCTTTTGTCGTACTGTAAGAAATACGGGCGGAGGAGAAAAGTTAAGAGGAGACCCCCAGCTTGGCAGCAAAACAAAGCTTGGCAAGTCTTAAGGGTGTTTCAGTTTCAGTGCCCTGTTTGTACTCTTTGGACTGGCTAGGAAATACCTCAATTGATATTTGGGAGACTAAATCATCTCGGCTAGCACTTTTGCTCGAGCAGAAAGATTCCGGGTTCAGGAAGATGGATGAGTCGGGATGTGGTTTCTCCCAAGGCAGAGGAAAATCTAAACCCAAGGGTGTTCACCATCCCTTGACTAGCAAAGGCTTTGGAGTAAAACTACCCTCAAAGCAAAGGATTCAACCCTAGGAGGGCAGCAAGCCGGGCAGCTGCCGGCCCCGAGGGCGAGGGGGCGGATGCAGCCACAGCACCGGTGCGACGTGGCAGCTACGCTATGGGCGAGCGTGAAAGCCACGGGCAGCTTTAACACGAGCAATTCAGGTTTGAAAATAGTCACCGGAATATTTCCCCATAGCAGGGATCGATTCCCAGGCAATTATCTGCCTAAACGGCACCTCCCAGAAAACCACTCCAAAAAAAAAAACAAACCCAAACCCAAATAACATGCCAGCCGCTCCAGCCCGTACCTGTGCGGGATGGTGAAGGGCAGGAAGGATGAGTGCCTGAACATCTCCAGGATAAAGGCTTCTGTGTAGGGCAGCGTGCCCCGGTCCGACAGCCTCGGTCGCCTCTCCCGGCCGATGGTCGATGGTCCGGTCTGCAGGAAGTTGAGACGGGAGCGAGTTGGGGTCAGCCCTCACCAGAGAGGTTTTGGCCCCGGAGGCAGCGGGCTCATGGACTCACCTAGTTCTTCCTGGATCTTCTTCTGGATGTCAGGGTACAAGGCGACATACATGAGGCTCCAGGATAAGGCAGTTGCCACAGTGTCGAAGCCTGGATGGACGCAAAAAAGGCGTTTGGTTACCAAGAGGACAGGCGACCGAGTATTTACAGATCCCCCCCGTCCAGATGCTTGCCTTGGAGCGGTTCCCCCACCAGCTGAGCCCAGAAGCAGTCCCAAACACCCTGAGCGTGGCCAGGGTCTCACCCCGGTGGCTCCAGCACCCCCACCCAGCCTCCCAGCAGGAAGGCTTTACCCTCAGAGATGTTCTCACCCGCCCCAAAGAGGTCGTTGACGATGTTGATGATCTTCTCATTGGAGAGTGGGATGCGGGCATCCTCTCCTACACTTTTCTCCTGGCAGTGCTCAATCAGCGAGTCCGTGATGTCCCGGATGTGCTCCTGGGGAAGGGTTGGTGGGTCAGGGACATCATGGACAACCAGGGCTGGGGAAGCATCTCCTCCCCCAGCCAGTGCCTGCTCCTGCAGCTTGGAGAGCTTTCCTGGGCAGAGGTGGGGAGCACAAGGGAGTATCCTCTTCCCCCCATTGCCAGGCAGGCAGCATCTCTGACAGCTGTAGGCATCTCCACCCACATCCTAGAACATCCAAGCTCTTACCTTATCAAAGCTGGTGTAATGCTCCTGGACAATTTTTTGCACAAAGAAGCTGAAACGCCTGTTGATGTCCTTGAAGAGCTGCATGGTGCGGCTGGGAAGGTACTGGAGCACGGGGATGAAGTCAGCGGGGTTGCCAGAAGCAGCCACATCCCCAAATTCATTGTTGAGGTTCACCAAGCTGAGCAGCTCTTGGTCGTTGTGGTCGTAACGCTTGCCAAAGCAGATGGCGCAGATGACGTTGGCCACAGAGACCACCAGGTAGCGGTTAAGGTCAAAGCTCTTCTCCTCCTCCATCAGCTGCAGGAACTTGGCGACCAGGTAGTCAGCCTCCTTGGAGACGTGCTCCTCCAGGAGGCAGGTGGAAGAGGAGGTGGGGCTGGGGGCAACGGAGAAGGTCTTCAGGGCGTTCCGGGCCAGCCTTCTGCGGGCTTTCCACACCTCCCCTGAGTCGGGGCTGAAGGCCAGGCTCTGGCCATTCGAAATGTATTGGAAGCTGTGGAGGTCAGGACGTCCCATGAAGTCTTCTCCTTGCTTCACCAGTGCTTGCCTGATGGTCTCCAGCCCGCTCAGCACCAGCACGGGCCGGGTGCCAATCCTGACCTCCATCACGTCCCCATACTTCTGGCTCAGCCTGGTCAGGGCCAGGTGCGTGTCCTTCCTCAGCTCCAGCACGTTGCCGAGGACGGGGTAGCCTCTGGGTCCCGGGGGGCGCTTTGGTGCGTGTCCTTCCTCAGCTCCAGCACGTTGCCGAGGACGGGGTAGCCTCTGGGTCCCGGGGGGCTCTTCAGCCCCTGGGGCACGTGCTGCCGCAGGGACTGGATGAGCAGGGGGACCAGGCAGAAGACGGCAGCCGCCAGGAGGACCTCGGTGGCAGAGACAACGCCTTGGCTTCCCACCAGCGACATTGCAGCCTTCATCTCTGCCGGCATCCAGAAACCTTAGTAATAAACCAAAGAGGCATTATGAAGGAGGGAAGGTCCATGGAGCACCTCTAGTCTGAGATGCTCTTTGTAGCTATTGCGAGCAGGAACGCTGGCTTTAACTTCTGATCCGGAGCGGCCTCGTTTTCCGCACTTGAGGAAACTGCTGGCACTTAAAAGCTCTTTTTTTGCTAGCCAGGAATGAAAGGAACAGGTCCCATGGCATTTTCTCTATGTGCCTGGGGTAGAAAACGTGCTCTCTTTGCTACAGGACCTGTCTTTTATGCTGCAAAGTCTTTTCCAGAGCGCTTGACTATGGGAGAGCTGAAGCCTTCTGATCTGAGTCATCTGGTTGCTCGCGCGGAGCCACCGCGCGCCAGCAAACTAAGTACAGCGTTGCCACAAATCTTCCTTAAGATCGGTGGCCACGAAAGCTCGCCGTGGCTGTGGCGTGGGGCTGGCAGGCTGTGGGCACCCCGCTCCCAGCTCTGCCAGAAATCGCTCAGACAACCCCGAGCCGGGGGGTAGGAAGAGGCTGGATCTGAACTCCCACCTCCCCGGGGGTTATGGTAAGGTGCTACACGCCCCCGTGGGACACCCGGGTGCCATGGGGTGGGGAGCTTGGGGGGGGGTGCTGCTGGGACCCCTGTGCCCCAGTGGGTCCCAGCTAGGACCCCCTCCCAGCCCAGGGCCACGGATCGTGGCCACCCCAGGGTAAGAGGGGCTGTGGGACAAGGATCACCCCCAGAAACCACCTTCCAACAGCTCTGGGAAAGATGCTGCGGGAGATTTGGGGAGCCAGAGAGGGGCGGACACCCCACAGTGGGGCACTCCCTGGCTTCGCATCCCTCGA